CCCCCCCCCCCCCCACACACACAACAATAACATACCTTTTTCTCAAAGCATCTGTCTTTCCTCTTCAAGCGAAACTTGTTGAGTGCAGCCTGTCGTAGTAATTTTTGGGAGTTCCCATCTTGGACAGCAGAAACATCTTCCATCCTATACTCAGTTGTAGGTTTGATGGAAGGATAGTGACAGTTCATGACACCATTGCAGATGTTGTTGTTTGCACTTTGATCAGTTGGAAATGGAACATGTCCCAGTTCGGCTTTTGATGAGAAACCTTGTTGGTATTCAGTCTGAGTGATTCCCGAAGTGACATTATGATCACTTAAACCGTTACACTGCTGATGGGAGTGTATAGCTTGATTATTAAAGCAATTAAACGGGTGCTCCTGGAAAGAACTCTGTGGGGTAGCTGAAACTGGACACTGCAATGAAGAAGCCATAAAACCGTAGGAGTTATTGCTTAGACCATCAAACCTCACACCATTGCTTACTGGGGTTTGGAGATGTCTTTGGGAGCTCATAGTTGGACCATGAGAATCAGAATTATGACCATCGTCTTTCTGTTGATTTGTCAATTCTCTGTGCTGCGCCCCCTTGCTAACATATCTGCATATATAGTTTGTTATGTAACTTCCAATATACTCATTGTTTTCTAATAAATCAAAGAGAGCAATTTATTAAAAAGAGGGTATAGGGTATAAAAATCCTGTCCTTTCATGAAAAAAAACTTATGTTCAACTGTTTAACCAGGACAGTTAAATAAGTCCGGTAAAAGGCTTGCTAGAATCAAATAGGCACTTGTGAGAAACAAGAAAACTCACCTAGTAAAGGCGGACACATCTGAATGCTTCAACCTATGCTTCTCATCTGGAAATTGGTTGACAGAACCACTAGGATACCTCTTCAAGGAAAGCTCCAGTGGAGGAGACGAAGAAGCAACCTTGTTTTCACCAACATTTGAACCAGAAACATAATTGCATTTCGTGTAGTTATCAAATGATCCAATCAAACTCATGGCCTGCTTAGAAGATGCCATTCTTGCTTCATAGGAACTCATGTCTTCTCCACTAGCTACTGCAGTGTAGCATTACATTGGACAAGTTAGACAATACCACCCGCATACGCATAACAAAAAGAACAACAAAGGATTCACGAGATAGAACTGCAAAAATAAATTCACCTTCCACTTGATTGTCGGGATCCCTCAACTGAACATCCAAAGCAATTGGATGAGGTTCTTGAATTTCTGGCTTTGTGCAAGAGCTCTGGGTATGACCATGAAATAAAAGAAACACGATATGGCTCAAAATGTGTGAAACAATATTTTCAATGTAAGGAGCACTGAAGAGGAGGATTAGCTCTACCTGAGCATCACTCCCTTTCTCAATGCATTCCCTATTCCTTTCAATACAAACCTCAAAACCACTTGAATGGTTACTAAAAGCATCATTTTCAGCTGTGGCTTCGACCTTCGGTTGCACGACACTCTCCTCACCTTGTCCATGCCCACTTCTGCTTGACTGAGTGAAATACATATAAGAAAACGAGGTTCTCTCCCTGAACAATGAATTTGAAAGAGATAATTTACGAGACTTATGTATTATTTGCTTACAACTTGTCTCCTCCATACATGCTGCCACAAGTTCCTCAACTCATTTTTCCTTAATGGCTTGACAAGAAAGTCAACCGCTCCTCCCAACATGCATTTATAGACAGTACTAATCGAATCATGTGCAGACATCACTGTAACACGGATGCAGAGCGACAAATAACTGATTAATTAAGTACGCCACATGTATAAAGAGCATTGCAGCTGATAATGACTAGTAAAAAACATACTTATAACGGGAACGTTTTTGCAGATTTCATGTTCCATGATAAGTGTGAGAAGGGCATATCCAGAGATCGAGGGCAGATCGACTTCTGTCAAAATGAGGTCTACATTTCGGGGCCGCCTCTTTAGCACTTCCCATGCCTTTAAACCATCACCAACTGCAGCAACTGCAAAAATCATAAGAAGCTCTGAGCTGCTTTTCATCAAATTCAGATTTTAGAAGCCATATGGTTTAAATTGTCTCACCAAATCAAAACTCTTAAAGGAAAGAACTTTGAGGGGGACAAAACCCAGATCTTTACCGAAAGAAAAACAAAATATAAACCAGCTAACAAGTAAATGTCATAGCTGACAAATAAGAAAATGGCAGAATCATAAAATAATATATCATTCAATATTCATTGTGTGAAAAATCAAAGAGTAATTAGAGTCAATTTCGAGTAATTTAACCTTTATAACTGCATTTCCTGAGAAGAGCAGCTATGATCTGCCGGGTAGAATCATCAGATTCCACCAACAACACTCGGAGAACCATTTTGGGCAAGAATCTCTCCCACCTCACCATCGCCTCCGCGGCTGCGGGCCCCGACCCGTCTCCTTCCTCGGCCTTCCTCTGCTCCGCCGCCGGCAGCAATTCCATCCCCTCTGTTTTTCGACGGTCCAGCTCCACTGCACCTCCGCCGACGCCGCCGTCACTACTCACCGCAGTTTCGCCCATTTTCCGATGACGGGTCCTCGGAGCAACTGCAAGATAAAGATAAACTGAAGCCAAGAGACGCAAAGATTATTATTCTCTCTCTGTGTTAAGGCTGTAGAAAAATATCTCCGGAATGGGAGAGAGCACAGTGGCTTCAGTGATCCAACGGTGGAAACGCAAAGTAGTTCAGCTGCTTCCGTGATCTAACGGTGGAGCCTAATGGCGTTCAAGTAAATTGGTACGGAGGAGTGTTACAGAGATCATCGCAAAATATCTAGAGGACTCTTGGTGTGTCTGGCCCGAATTTGCCACGTTGGCTCCTTAATGGCCTCCCAATTCCAAAAGCAATATAGACAATGTTCTTTTTGGGTTGTTGGGTTCATCCTTAAAATATAAAAATAAATAAATAAATAAAAACCTCACCCACTATATTTCTCCAATTTAATTACTCCTTCAGTCCTTCTATACAAAATTTTATTATTTTATTTTTGGCCTGTCCTAAACAAATCACTTCCTTTCATTTTTCATTATTTTAGTAAGCCAAAGAAGTTTTTACATGATAGAGACTAGTGCTTTCATTATCTCAAAGTTAAAATCTAAATTATGAATTTTTTTCAAATTTTTCATGAGCCGGTATAAAAATCTTTTCTATTTTTTCGAAGAATCCAATTCTTACAAGATATTTATATACTAATATTCATAAAATAAGTGTCGACTCTAGACAATATAATAATTTGCCAACATTGACAAGGGGAGTACATCTTTAGGTATTAATTAAATAATACTCCCTCCGTCTCAAAATAAAATTCATGTTCATTTACGATATTTGACTAAAATTATTTACAAATAAATATACATAAAAAATGGTATTGAATAAAAAATAAAAATTATATATTAAAAAAGAAAAAAATATCCAAAATAATCTCAACTTTACTCTGTCTTTCAAAAATAATACCACCTTTCAGTGTAATTCATAATAATCTCAACATTACTGAAATTTGTGTGTTTTGGGACGACGTTAAGTTGTTAGTGGCAGTTTAACGGAATGTCCTATTTTGTACAACAAAATGAAAGTTGAGATTATTTTTGGTGAATTTTCATTTTTAGTTTTTTTTTTGAAATTTTTATTTAAATTTTAAAATGACTTTCTACATCAATTTCTTTTTCCTTTTTTAAATATTTTTCTTATCTTATAAAAAATAAAAAATATATAAAATATACTCCAAAACCATAACCATACAACATTAATGAAATAAATAAGGTAATAGATAGAAATTAAACTAAAATTGAAAAGAAAAAAATAAAAATATAACGAGTGGAGTGCTCTAGCATTCTACGCACTAAACAGAGTATTAATGAACTACTTATTTTTTGAAAGAACAGGTAAATTTAGAATTATTCTAGATAAGTTTTGCTAAAAATATGAAGAAGTGGTGCATTAATGCTTTGTATAGTGTGTAAAATGTTAAAGCCCACCACTCCATATATTTTTATTTTATTTCTTACCAGTTTCAGGTTAATTTCTATTGATTACTCTTTTTTTATTAATTTGTCTGATTTTAGTTATTTTTTATTACTTTTATCCAAAGTTAGACTAATCTTTAAAAAATGGAAAGTAATTTAAAAAGTTTAAATTAAAATTTTCAAAAAAAATGAAATTCTTAAAAAATAATCTCAACTTTCGTTTTGTTGCGCAAAACATGCTGTTTCTGTTAATTCACCGTTAGTCACTTAACGGCAGCCCAAAATAGGCCGTTTCGTAAATTTCAGTAAAGTTGAGATTATTATGCATTGGAGTGAAAAGTGAGATTATTTTTTAAAGACCGGATAAATTTGACATGATTCTACATAATTTTTCCGTTAAAGAATTATACTATCAAAAATCTACAAAATAAGTGGTGAAAAGGTTATTTTATTGGACCATGCTAGGGTGCCACCACATGGGTGCTACCATGGGTGCACCCATGCTTCGCAC